ATTCCTACATAGTTTGGAGATTCATCAAACAAATTCTAACTAAATCAAATTGCATGATATTTTGTAAATATCGGAATTTTTGAAAATGTAGTACTAGTTGACAAAACATTTCAAAATTTTCGAAACGATGTGCTTCATTACTGTCTTTACCCTTGAATACCTCAGGTTTGTTCATGCTTGATTTGGAGGACGAGTGTTCCTCCATGGCTGTGGCAAGGTTGGCTACTTGTTCAATGAGCTGAGTCATGAGCTCATCTGCAGAGGTAGTCTGAGCAGGGGTAGACATGATAGGAGTAGGCAATTGGGGCTGGGGAATTGGCAGGAAGGTTATATCATTCACAGTAAGTGGCTCTTGGATTGGGTTGGGAAGGGCGTTGGGGCAAGGTTGAGACTGGGAGTTGTACCAACTATTGTTGCTGTTGTGGGAGTGAGCTTGGTCTCTGGTATCAAGTGCATGTAGGAGCGTGGAGCAGTCTACTCTGGCAGCGGCTGTTTCAGAATCGGGCAGGACTGAGGAAGCCGTGGTGGCTACGGATCCTGCAAGGACAACCTTATTGGTAGGCTGTCAGTGCAGTAATGGATCTTGACCTAATGTCACAAAGCAGTAGCAGTGGAGTGACTAAGCAGAGCAACTGAGTAGAGTGGTAATGCGGAGCAACTAAGCAGAGCAGAGACGGACTGGTCCCAAGATAATGACTGAGGTATATTGAGTATTGTAGTCATAGGTAATAATAAGTAACACATACCTGGTCCCAAGATAATGACAGAGAGGTCAAGAGAAGGGACAGGCTGTGGGGGGTTGGCTATTTATATATAATTCGATCTGTGAGAAATGATGATGTAATGCTGTACAGTTTAGGAACAAGGAAGGTGGCGGAAGCCAGTAGAAGGAGAAGGGTAACAGGTGGGTTGGTAATCGATGATGGCGGTCAGGCAGTAATCAATGGGATTTGATAGTGATGTAATTGTACAAGTAAAGGTGTTGAAACAGTGAGAAAAGGAAAATGATAGCAGCTACGTACTTCATGACAGCATATTCATTGTGTTGTCACCATCATCATTGTTGTTCGGATCCTTGCCATCATCATTGTCATCCAGATCCTTGCTGACAGGCTGTAGAAGGGCAAGTTAGTGTCAGAAGCAGAAAAGGCGATAGATAACGTACCTTGGCCTTGTTCTTCACCACCTTCGGGACCTTCACTACTGGCCTCCTTGGAGAAACAGAGGTCTTGCTGGGCAAAGTCCCCAGCTGACTCCTGGCAGTAGCAGCTTCTGCCATCCTCCTCCTCTACTTCCTGCTGATGGGCCCCATTGACCCTATCATGGGCATCCTGCGCTGCCTTCCTTCTTGCTGCCTCAGCTCATGCAGTGACCTGCTTTCTCTTTTGCTCCTCTTCAGCGGCCTTCTTTGCTACCTCCACCTCTGCAGCTCTCTTCTTGGCTTCTTTCTCAGCCTTCTTTGCCTTCACCCTCCTAATCTTTTCTTGTGCTTTCTGCATAATGCTTTCTTCCTCATCCTCATTGTTTTTGCCAGGGTTCGGGGGATTGGTGGGTTGTGAAGAGGTACTGGCAGAAGGGGTGGTGGTGATGATTGTACAGCTGGTCATCATGTTGTAAGTTTTGGGAAAAAGGTGGGTCCACAATGGAAAAACCCTGGGCCTTTTATATGCTTTGAAAACAAAAAATGAGGTTTATTTGATTAAACCCGTGGCCTGCAGGTATATTCAGATTTAAACTTTGAACAACTAATATTTTATTGATGGGATCAATCTTCGGTGATGTTGGTTTTCAAGGGCTCAAGCCAAAGAGGGGGATACTGACAAGACCATGCCTTGGGAGAAGTAACTATGTATGTATGGATGTGGATGTGCATACTTTACGACACCTTTGGGGACACCTCAGATGACTTGGAGGAATAACTATGTATGTATGAATGTATGGATTAATGTGCAAAGATGTATGAATGTGATGCATGGATGAACATCAGCAAGTTCCGAACAGTGTAATCCATATAATTCTGTACACTTTATACCTGATTATACACTTCGAGGGTTGTATAACGGAAAAAGAGGACACATATGGTAAATGCAAAAATATACTCAAATATACCAGAATCATACAGCTCCTCACCCTTATTTATACTTACGCATTGTGCTCGATTGTACACCATCTATGCCAACCCTTATACACCCACTTATACTGTCTTCATACGTGTTTATAGAAGGCTCATATTACCTCTGTATACTCCTTTATACTGTCTTATACAGTTTCATATACCATGCTTATGCAAGCTCCTTCTTGTTTATTCAATACTGAAGCTCACGTGACGAGGAAAAGATGCACAAACAAATGACATTAACGATGAATCAATTACAGTAGGCAAACATTAAGATTCAATGGTATCATGTGAAGAGACAGGGAGAGGAAATGTTGTCAATGACAAACTTTGAAGGTCGTTCCATGAGTGCATTGTAGACAGTCTGCAGTATCAGAATATATCAGTACATTGCTTATAGGATGTAAATACCATGCAACTCACCTAGTCGTCAGAGAGCATAATGACATCCTGCCTTCGCCGCTCTTCCCTGATGCCCGTGTCCAACTCTGAACCACCCTCATCATCAACAGTAAAATTTGTTCTTGCCTCTTCCAACGCAACTTTCAAGGCGGGCCTAGCTCCGGAATTAGGAATGTTGATAATGTAACATTTGCTAGCATTGATAATCAAGTTCCATTTAGCTTTGGTAAGCTTTGATGTATCACCACGCACCTCCCCAACTATCACCATTCCCCTGACATACCTACCCAAACGTCCTGATGTTCACCCCGATACGCATATAACACCCTCCTAATAGCCAACCCCTTTAAGTACTAAATCTCGATTACCTTCCTCCCTAGATTAGCTACCTCATGTTTCTAGATGTTCTCTTGTTCACTTCCCATACCTACTTAAGTAGCGCCGCAACGTCCAGAAGCCCCAGCTTGGTATATTTTGAACACACACCCTTTACATAGGTCCAGTCCCTGTCCCTTTGTACCTGCTACCTATACGGAATTCTCGTTACTCTCTGTTTCTCTATCTCTGTTTCTCTCTACTCTTGTCTACTGCCTCTACAATTGTCTATACAGTCGGATATATGCTTTTACTTCACGTCTAAGCAATCCGAGTGAGTCTCCAAGCTCCCTCGAACAATACTAAAGCTCCCCAACGCCTAACACCTTGGTGAACCAACCTCCCCAAAACCTCCTCGAACTCCCCAATTGCTCCACAAGCTCTGGGATCTCGATCTAGGTAACATTGAAGCTACCCCTTACATCGAACTACGTGCCGTTTCTCCGGTACCACCTCCAACACTCGAGGATGTCCACCCCTAAGCCCCAGTTCCCGGGACCTCCCCTCCCGGGCATATACCTTCTCAGGAGCTTATACACTTGAGACCTATTCTCTCTACGACCTATTCAATCCCATGTTGACGTTCTAGCGAGTACAACTCCTTCTACGCAACGCTACTAGGTTCCGTACATTACCTCCTCTATCTATGTTGTAGGGACCTCCCTGGACCTTACAGGAACCCCTCCAAGGGTCACATCTCTCTATCCCAGCCACTACTAGGTTATTCCTGTCCTTGGTCGCAGTATCCATAGCTCCCTTCGAGCTCCAGCCTGCTCCTAGCACACTACAACATAAACTCTTCATACCAAAACCTATCCTAAGACCTATTCTGACCCAGGTCTTACAGCCGCACAGCTCTTTGAGGTAAAGAGTAACAGCCGCAGCTCCCATTTTCCCAAAGTTGCTTTGGTAAGCCCTAAGTTTTGTTTGGAGCTGAACCGCAACACTGAATTTAGATTATTTCAGAGAAGTAAATGGCTACATACAAATGCATGTATTGCAGGATGATTGCAGTGCAGGATTGTATCACCTCTAGGTCCTGTACAGCTGGGAGGAAGAGATTGAAAACAATCAAGCCAGATCATAGCTGGGAGGATTTTGTGGTTCATGACATCACAGTCACCAGCATTGACATAAGGTATATCGGATACTTTAGTGGTGACACATTTCTTGGGTGGCCGTGCAGGCTTGCCTGTTTCGATCTCTTCCTTTGCAATCATGTTGATATCTACTGGTTCAAATTTCACCTCTGGCAGTCCCTACATATACAGATGTGAGCATAACACTTTATACAAAGGTAAGGATAGACCTGAAAGTGTTTTGTCCCATGACTTTTGCCTGCTCATTGCACCTGGAGTGCTTGTGGACTTTCATCTACACCGAATTCATCAATGTCTGTCAGTCCATCTTCATTTGCTGGCTTAAAGTTCGAAGACAAATGTGAAGAGGTTCGAGCTTGATTGATGACCTCCTTCCAATTTGGTTTCAACCCACCAACTTGGATGGTCTTGGTACGTTTCACAGAACTATAGTTGTGCTGTGAGTGTATTTGTGTTAAGATCATGTAAACCGTGTAACTGTGCCAGGGCCACAAGGTGTCTAAGGGCGGAAGGGGGAGTGGGACAGTAGTGAAGTAATTAACAACACCGCCGTTACGCCGTTAGTCCCCGGAGATCGAGAGTATAGAAGAGAGGAGCTAAGTAGCAGCCAAGTCAGAGCGGCGGTGTCGCTGACAACGAGGAGCAAACCAAAGAACGTCTAAGTCCTAAGGTAGAGTAGAACGTACTTCAAGGCGTTGAGCCTGAAGACTTGGAGAAGAGCTAAGTTGGAAGGGAGATCTAAGTCGATAATTAAACTGAGGAACTACAGTAGCATACAGGCAGTATTTATATCTACGGAGCGGCGCATCGGTGCAGAGCGCTAGACTAACTACTAGGAGCTATACGTGTAGTACCTGCAGGGTAAAGTAAAAGACAATAAGGAGGGACTAGAACGAAAGGGTATGTGTAGCGAGAAAGAACAATAAGAGTGAGATTACAATAAAGGATGGATCTTCGGAATACCGAGCGGCGGAATGGAGGCCCGAGGCATGGACTTGACAATTTGGTTATAAAAAAGAAGAAGAACTCAATGTAGCCACAGCATCTATTAAAGGACATTTTGCTCCCAGAGTGGTATTGAGAACCAAAGACTTGGGTGGCTCAACCCGAACTGCAGAAATAGTGTCACGTACAGCAGTTTTGTTGGCCTAAAGCAATCAAATTTCGTGTAACATTTACATGAAAAACAGATAAATCGTACCTTTTTCTTCTCTTTGATTCTTCTGAGCTCCTCTTCAAGATTTTGAATAGTTCTTTCGTCCTCGTCATCTTCATTATTTTCGGTCATGGGTATGTCAGGACATTGGCTCATATTTCCAGACGCTGGCAACATAGGTCCATCAACAGGACTCGACATAGGAAATCCTATCCGTTCCACAGACCTGGGAGTTAAATTAGCTTTACATATGCTGGTGAGTTTACTGGGTTAACCAAGCTCACGAACCCACAAGAGTCGACCTGTTCTGTAAGGTTTGCTTCAGAATCTGTTGACGTTAGCAATTATCCTTTGGCTCTTTCCATTGGCTCCATGTCAGGTCAAAGTAGAGCATGGTTTTCCTTGGCTTGTGCATCTAGCTGTTCGGCTATGAGGCTGTTAGAAAGCAGGATCTTTTCCTTCGCAGCGGCCTTTGCCTCTTCTTTTTCTTTTTTTTTTTGAGGCCTGGCTTTTACGCAGAGTTACGCATGCAGCAGCAGACTAATTAGAGAGAATGTCTGCAATGTTTTGCTTATTGCGAATTTGGGATGAGATAAGAGTAGCCATTTCCGAAGATTAAATGAGAAGTCAACAAAGTCGTTCAACAAAAAAGAGTTGCCGACGGGAAAAATTCTTCAAGTTGTTGTTGCCAGCCCTCAAGTGCTTGATATTACATACCTCTATGTCGCTCCTTCGATGCCAGGTTCCCGGGTGCATGCGCACTTTCAAACGGTCCAGCGACTTGACCAGACATGTCAATTTGTCACATAAACACTATGGTGTTGATCCTTCTACACCACCGGACCCTCGATGCCCAAATTCACCTGAACATGATTTATTCAATGACCAACAGCCGTATTCACCCCCACCACCTCCACTTCCTAAAGAAAGAAAAAATTATCATCCCTTTTTACATGGTAAGTTATTTATTTTAGTCAATTCAGTGCTTCTCACTTTGCTCCAGGGGACATTTGCACTGAGGATGGTCGTCCCCTTTCTGCCAGCTCATCTCCTCCTCCACAAGTTGAATCACAGAACCCTTGGGAACCATGCTCCGGGGAGGCACAATTCTGCATCAGTAACCTTCTGTTCAAAAAGGTTCAGATGTCCCAAACCAACATCAACGAGCTCTTCAATATCTGGAACCTCCATCAACAGGAGCTTATGAAAACTGATAGCCCCTTTGAAAATCACAAAGACATGTATAACGTGATTGATAGCATTGTTAATGGTGGCGCTGCATGGAACTGCTTTTAGACAGTGGTGTTAAGATCATGTACACCGTGTAACCATGCCAGGGCCACAAGGTGTCTAAGTGCGGAAGACGAGTGGGACAGTAGTGAAGTTATTAACAACACCGCCATTACGCCATTAGTCCCCGGAGATAGAGAGTATAGAGGGAGGAGCTAAGTAGCAGCCAAGTCGGAGCGGCGGTAACGCCGGTGACGAGGAGCGAACCAGCGAACATCTAAGTCCTAAGGTTATAGTAGAGAGTACTTCAAGGCGATGAGCCTGAAGACTTAGAGGGGCACAGAGTTAAGGAGGGAATCTAAGTCGATGATTAAACTGAGGAACTACAGTAGCATACAGGCAGTATTTATATCTACAGAACGGCGCAGCGGTGCGGAGCGCCAGACTAACTACTAGGAGCTATACGAGTAGTACCTGCAGGGTAGAGTAAAAGGCAATAAGGAGAGACTAGAACAAAAGGGTATATGTAGCAAGAAAGGACAATAAGAAGAGATTAAAATAAAGAGCAGATCTTCGGAATACCGAGCGGTGGAATGGAGGTCCGAGGCATGGACTTGACAAGTGGTTAATGAACACCTATCTGCCGATGCACCTGAGTGGCAGAGAACCTCCTACCAAGTTTGGTACCGCAATCCTGCTACCGTTATTGCCAATATCCTTGCCAATCCAGAATTCAGACACGACTTCGATCCAGCACCTTATGTACACATCAATCGTAATGGCCAGCGATGCTGGGCTGATTTTATGTCGGGGAATTGGGCTTGGAGGCATGCGGTAAGTCAGTCCAGATATATCCTCCAATAGCCTGTCTTCTCAAACTTATTGTTGCAGACTCAAATTTATGAAAATGACACAACTGACTGTGTAGATGGGGCAATGCTTGTTCTAATAATACTGGGTGCTGATAAAACAACAGTTTCAGTGGCAACTGGCCACGTCGAGTACCATCCTCTGTACCTCTCCTTTGGAAATATCTCTAATGCTGCTCGGCGAGCTCATCGGAATGCTGTTATTCCAATTGGATTCCTTGCCATCCCAAAATGTGAGTGCTACGTACAATTGCTCTACATGCATTCAATCTTTCATGTGCTAGCGGGCCGCAAGTATGACAATGAGAGCAATCTTCGTATATTCAAAAAGAGGCTCTACCACAGTTCTATCTCTGCAATTCTTCAATCCCTCAACCCGGGAATGACAATTCCCGTAATACGGAAATGTCCTGATGGTCATTTCCGCCGTGTGCTTTATGAGCTAGCTGCACTTATTGCAGAACAGGTTTATCTGTCAGGTATTGTTTCAGGATGGTGTGGACGGTATGTATCAATTCTAAGTTCTGATACTTATCCGTTGACAGTATGTGAAGGTGCCAGGGAATTTTCTCTGATCTTGATGGTCCATCCTCAAGTGATCGACGCAGTCGTAAGATTGACCAAATTTTACGGGAGGAATATGGAGGGGAAGTCCGTATGTTGTGGGATAACTTTGGCATTGATGAGCATGTCATAGTATGTCATTATTTTCTATTAGAACGTATCTCATATATAGATTTGCAGCCATTCACAGAAGATTTTCCTTGAGCTGATATCCATGAGATGTTTGCACCAGACCTTCTACACTAAATTATCAAAGGATCCTTCAAAGATTCACTTGTCGAGTGGTGTCTGGATTATCTCACTACTACACATGGTGAAGCTAGAGCGAATGAAATTCTTGATGATATTGATAGGCGGCTTGCAGCAGTTCCTGCATTTCCTGGCCTACGACACTTCCCTCATGGACGGAGATTCAAGCAGTGCACAGGAGATGATTCCAAGGCATTGAAACTTCAAATTCAGCCCCAAGTGCCAGGACTAGTTGAATTTTGGTATTCCACACATGCCACTTAAGGGATTCAAGCACCCACAGAGAGAAGGACTTGTTTTCTGACTTTGGAAAAAACTCAACTTCTTTGATAGATGCGCAGTGGAAGCTGGAGCCCAAATGTTGAAAAATAGTATCCAAAAGTCAGTTGAGTGCTTATTGGACAAAAACCCCAGCCTGCTGTTTGGCATGTAAATGCACAAGTAATTGCAGATCCTCAAGATGAACAATTTTCAAGTTGTGAAGAAACATACTATTGACCCCCTAGAAGTGGGTCAATTAGTATTTATAGGCGGTAGATTTTGTCTAGGTTGTGAAATTCAATGTACATCTTCTAGAGTAGCATCAAGTGATACTCTGAATACAACATGGGAATGAGTGAGAAGCACAATGAGAAATGGGGGATGAAATGACCAGACCAATTGGCCTAATTATGTAAAAATCTTGATTATTTTCTTTATCCTTGCAGAAAATGATGCCGGATCCGACAACTCTCCTCGTCTCAGTCTTTCCAGTAATTTATATCTTATCAGGACCAGCAGGAAGACACACTACATCACTTCTCTCAATCTATCCAGGCTTCTGCAGTCAGCTGGGCATGTTTGTTGCAACATGCCTATTTATCAAACTACTCTGTTGGGATCTTTTTGAATGTCAGGCCCATGATGTGTTCCGTGCATAGAGCTGCTCTGAGGCTCTACTGAATTTTGGGAATTTCTGTGCTCCCTGAGGACCATGATCATTGTTGTGAAAAATTCACAATAGACTATCTACTAGGATTGTCTGTTACATTTTGACTACAGGGATGTGGGGTAAAGTGAATGCTACTGGTGCGTCCACATCTTTCTCAAATACATGGTCCCCACTAATTTTGAGCTTTGTCTTCCTGGTCAGACTTCGAGTGGACTGTGAATGCCTCCAGGACACCTCAAATTGCCAAATTTACAAGCATTCAATGACACAAATTTTCTGAATACTTTCATCAATTGACACATAAAGTTTTTGATGGAAGGATATATTGTACTCATTTTAAACAATTTTCTCGAAGAATTTGAGCAATGGGTGACTTCATGAGCAGGTGTATGTGTACATCTGCCTCAGATATTCCCAATTGTTGGGGCTGAGTGAGAGAGCAAGCTTTTTCATACAATTGTCAAGAAGAACACTTCCAACATTGCAATTGGTCCATTGGAATACTGTGGAACTGGTCAAATGGTCAAGAATAATCATGGACGGTCAATGTATGTAACTCACAATCATTTGTTGGATATCCTGATGTTAGATTCTGTTAGTCTCACTATAACATGGAGCGATGTTGGAAGCCTGCATTCCTCGCTACTCCACTGCAGGGCTTGTGAGTTGCAATGTCACACGAAGGGGCTCGACAAACCTGGACTTTCAAAAAAAGCAATTTCACTGAAACAGAAGCAAAAGCTCAATGAGGACGTGGATACTCTGCTTCATAATTGTGACCCTTTTTGGCAAAGAGCACTTTCCTACAGATGGTACTTGAGGTCAGGCTTCTTTGCATGCAAATCATCCAATACATTTCTGATTCCTACTACAATATTGTCATTGTCACTTTTGTCCTCATTTCATTTACACTTAGTGGGAGTATTTGAGCTGGATTTGGCAGTGTCTTGGAGAGAGCTGTCCAAATGGATGTGAATTAGCTGTCCAGATGGTTCTTGGTTATGCTTGATGGAACAGGCCTGTTGTGTGGCTTGTTTCTCTACAAGGTCATCGAGGTTGAGAACAGATGGTGGATGTAGGGGACCATCTGACTCTCCATCATGCTAGTAATGTGTAAACCAAAACCATGGACAAATGATTCAAACAGAGACTCACCCATTTGCGTGCCCATAAAGTTATCTCTTCAATGCCAAGATTTACATGTTGTCCTGCATAGTATTCATCACATCGCCAGCTATTATGACCAGAGTGTTGCATGCAATGGAGTCTTTCCTTCAATTTTGTTAGCTTGTTGCCATAAGAAGTGTCAGTGGTTTGAAGTGGCTTTTTGGAGACTTCTTTCTCAATGTTTGGAGTCTGTATATTCAAACAATAAGCCAGAAATGGCAGCTGGACTGATATGGAACATACTGTATTCTTGATGACCATGCTAAAGGGTGTAGCACACCGAGAACTCTTGTTTCAGTTCAAAATTTCATCAAAAGCTCCGTGCACATCAGCATCGGCCTTCAAACAACAAAATCCTTTGTTCACAGGAGCATCACTAACTTGCCATCCAAGCTCAATGTCTTCTCCAGATTCCAGCTCCATCATGGACTTGTGCAAGGAAGAAATTTTGTGGTTCAATAGTCACAGCATTGATTTTTACTGTGACATAAACATGTTTTGACTTTTGTCCTGACCTCGAAGAACCTGCCAGTTGCTTCTGAGGGATGTCAACTTTGATCATGGAACCCGGAATGTTGCCTACACTGATGATCAGCCTTCATGTAATATAGCATCACTACCATAGTTTACCTCCAAGTCATTGAATATTGCTGTGCCTTTGCAATAGTTGTTGAGCAGGGTGAGACTGAGTTCCATTGAAAGCTCCTCTGTCCAAGACTTGGTTTATCTGTGCAACTGCTTGCTGCTGGGGGGCTGGAGGAGGAGGAAGAGGACCAACTCCAAGAAGATATTGAGTCATATTAGGTGGAGGAGGTCCATTAGAGTAGTCGTAGTGGGGATACATTGTACATGTTGCCACTCATGATAAATTGCTACCTTATATATGTTGTCTTGTATGAATCACCATAGGTACACAATCTACACAATGTGCCCCACTCTTCTGGTCAGCTCTCCATTGCTCATACAATGATCAAGGCGGGCATAGCTTTGGAGCTGGCAGGTCTGCACTGTCGGCCATCAGCCAGCCATCAGTTCAGTTTTTTTCCAACCCGCCTCCGGTTTTGCAGTTTGCTGTTATTGCCACAAAATCAAGAAAGATGTCTTGAGTCTTAGTGGGTATCATGTGATTGAAGTCCTTCAAAAAGAAAGTCTGTTCCTTGTCAGCTTTATCATTCAATATATGGGTGATTAGCACCAGCTTATTTATCTGAGTATTCCATTCCCCAAAGCCACCTTGGCAGAGCGCTGCCTATACTCAATTGTACCTAAAACTGAATGAGACTGACTTCCTTAATTATCATCCTTTGGTTTCTTTCCTGGTTGTTTGGTGCTGATGGGCAGTTTCTTCCAATGTCTTGACCAGGCCTTGACCCTTGCTGCTCAAGCTTTATGGAGTCCCTTCCCCAATGACCTTCCTCACCATGCTGCACTTTGGCCAGTACTACTGCCTCCCTCTTTGTTACACACTCCACCTGCGCGCGTTCCCGAATCCCTTCATTACCCCCTACCTTTGGAATGGCTTAAGGCCTGCCAAGAAGAGCTTGAAGCACTCAAACGGCATGGTACTTTTGAACTCATGGATCGTCCAGGAGACCAAAAGGTTATTAAGAACTGCTGGGTCTTCAACATCAAATCTGATGGTTGTAAGAAGGCACACCTTGTTGTCAAAGGGTTCTCACAAATGGAAGGTCTTGATTATGACCAAGTCTTCTCTCCTGTAGTACGGTTTGAGACTGTTAGACTGTTGCTTGCCTTGACTATGCTGAACAACTGGTATCTCACCGGACTCGATGTGTGAAATGCCTATCTACATGGAACAGCCTGAAGGTTTTTGAATCAAAGGCAAAGAGGATAAAGTCCTCTTACTGCGCAAAGCTCTGTATGGACTGAAACAAGCAGGTCTTGTCTGGTGGCGAGCACTGGACTCATACATGAAAACACTCGGCTTCAAACACGTGAGCTCTGATGCAGGTATCTTTGTCCATTGAGGAAAAGATGGCTCTTTAGTCATTGCCATCATCTACGTTGATGATGCACTCTTTGCTGGACCTGACAAGAAACTCGTAGATTCTTTTAAAGGGATATTCATGTCATATTGGTGTCACAAAGCGACGAAGGCGGAGTGACTAAGCAGAACAGGGAAGTGGAGCAACTAAGCAGAGCGACTAAGCGGAGTGACTGAGCAGAGCGATGAAGCGGAGTGCAGGCAATCTGGTCCCAGATAATGACAGAGATATATTGAGTATTGTAGTCATAGGTAATAATAAGTAAGCACATACCTGGTCCCAGATAATGACAGAGAGGTCAAGATGAGGGACCAGGCTGTGAGGGAGTGGCTTTATATACATAATCCGATCTGCGAGAAATAGCGATGTAATACTGTACAGTTTAGGAACAAGGAAGGTGGCGGAAGCCAGTAGAAGGAGAAGGGTAACAGGTGGATCAGTAATCGATGGGATTTGACAGTGATGTAATCGTACAAGTAAGGGCGTCGAGACGGTGAGAAAAGGAAAATGATAGGGGCTACGTACTTCATGACATTACCCCCCTTCTTACAACCATTGCCCTCGATGGTCAAGCCTTTGCTGCTGTGGGGTGTTTCTTGTGGAAGGCCCGAACAATCTTCGGAGCATGGCCGAGGTTGGGCCCTGGTTCCCAGGAGTTATGCCCTGCGTCGCAGCCCTTCCACTTAACCAGGTATTCCAACCTCTTCCACCGGACCCGACTATCCAGGATTTCCTCTACTTCATATTCCGGTTCGTCTTCATCCTCTAGGTAGACCGGCTCTGGTGGTGTTGGAATTTCTCCAATGATAGTGTTACCTTTCCAGGGGTAGAGTTTGTCAACATGGAATACAGGGTGAATGCGGTCGAGGGAGATAGGGAGATCAAGGTGGTAGTCCAGGGGTCCGATCTTCTCCAAGATTCGGTAAGGTCCAAGCTGCCGATCTCCTAGCTTCTTGCTGGATAGTTGGAGGTTGATGTCTTCCACGCTGAGCCAGACAAAATTTCCGACTTTGAACTGGTGAGCTTTCCGTTTTCCTCGTTCGTATCCCTCCTTTTGCTGCTTTTTGCCTAAGTGCAAGGCAGCCCCTGCGTCCTGTCGGGCTTCTCGGAGTATCCGTATATGGTCATCTACAGCTGGGATCCCGCTGCGTTGTCCAACTGGGATGTTGAACAAGGGAAGATATCCATAGGTTAGCTCAAATGGGGACATGCCTAGTGCCGAATGGGTTCGCGAGTTGATTACAAACTCTGCCATGGGAAGGTGCTCTGCCCAGTCATCCTGTCGACGACCTACATAGAGTCGAATGTATTTTTCTACTTCTTGGTTTGCACGTTCGGTTTGACCATTAGACTGAGGACGGTAACCGGATGTAAGATCTGATTTTATTCCCAGTCTAGCAGGTAGGGATCACATGAGTTTGGCTGCAAACTGAGGCCCCCGGTCGGATTTGAAGTGGAGGGGGAGTCCATGAAGACGGAAGATTTCCTTGTAGTAGAGGTCAGCAACACCTTCCGCAGTAATGGAGCTGGTGCATGGGAGAGCATGAATTTGTTTCCCATAGAGGTCCGTGCAGACTACGACTGCGTCGTATCCTTGGGAGTTAGGCAACTGCGTTATCAGGTCCACCCCTACCTCTTCCCATAGGCCCAAAGGTACATCTAAGGGTTGAGTTACAGCTCGTGGGTGTCGTTGGATCTTTTTGCGTGCGCATGTCTCACATCCCTCTACATATTTCTCCACAGAGGAGTGCAGTGTTGGCCACCAGAAGTGGGTGCTAACTAGATCGAGTGTTTCGTGGAGCCCAGGGTGTCCAGCAGTGGGATGGTCATGACATTGACATAGTACTTCAGTGCGTAGGTCATCGCCTGCTGGCATGTATACTCATCCTTGGTAGTAGACTAGACCGTTGTCCTCCTCCCATCCAGCAATTCCATTGGCTAAACACTCTAGTCCATGCTCTTTAACTGTTTTGAGACCTTCCAGTACCTGGGCTTCTCGCTGTGAGGCTTTCCGGATGCAATCCTCTAAGGGGTTCCATAGGATAGAGGCTGCAATTTTGGTGAAATGGTTGGGCTTAAGGACTGTCTGCTGCCGATTATCCTCATTGTCTAGTACCTGGTGGGCTGCCATATGGGAAAGAGCATCAGCCTGAGTGTTTGTTCTACCAGGGCGGTGGATCATGTGAAAGTCAAACCATGAAAGGTATAGAGCACAGCGAGCTTGGCGGTGGGTGAGGTCTTGAGCTGTGCGCCAAAATTCGAGGTTAGAGTGATCAGTGATGATATCGAATGGCTGGGGTAGTCCTTCAACGCTTCTATAATGGCTAGCATTTCCCGGTCATAGATCTCATAGTTTCGTTCTGCTGGTTGCATTGAGGCTGATCGAATGGCAACGGGATGCCATTGGCCATCATCTTGCTTTTGCATGAGGGCACTGCCAGTAGCAAAGCCTGATGCGTCTACCTCGATTCGGGTCGGTCTATCTGGTGTCCATAGGGCTAAGATGGGTGCAGAGATGAAGGCCTCTTGGAGGGTGTCAAACGCATGTTGCTGGGTGTCCATCCAGGTGAAGGATATGTCTTTCCGGGTGAGGTCATTCAGGGGCCTGGCTATCCTTGCAAAGTTCCGGATAAAGCGTCGGTAGAAGTTAGCAAATCCAAGGAATCCTTGGAGCTCTCGAAGATTAGTGGGGGCTGGCCAGTCGCGAACTGCAGCTACCTTTATAGGGTCCATTCTCACCTCCCCTTCCAATATAATAAGGCCTAGATATTCAATCTGTTGTTGTTCGAATTCGCACTTCTCCGGTCGTAGGTACAGATCGTGCTTCTCCAACCGGGTTAGTACTTCCCATACCACTCGTTGGTGCTCCTAAAGGTCACTGCCAAAGATGAGGATGTCGTCTAGGTAAACCGCTACCTTTCCAGCTACAATGAGGTCCGCAAATATAGCGTTCATGAGTGCTTGAAACGTTGCAGGGGAGTTGGTGAGACCAAAGAATATAACCTTAGGCTTGAACAGCCCTCATGTGGTTGCAAAAGCCCCTTTCCATTCGTGACTTTCCTTAATTCGAACGTTGTTATAACCCCAGCGGACATCAAATTTGGTGAAATATTGAGCCCCTTGGAGCCGACTAATTATATCAGCAACCAATGGGAGGGGGTAGCGGTTTTTCACAGTGTATTCGTTCAATTTCCGGTAGTCTTGTACAAAATGGAGTTTTCCATCCTTCTTCTTCACAAAGAAGACTGGAGATGAGATGGGTGATTTGGAGGGGACGATGTAGCCTTTCCGCAGATTTTCTTCCAGGAAGCGATCCAACTCCTCTTGCTCATTTAGGGACATGGGGTAGATCTTGGTACGCATGGTTGCCGGTGCTCCAGGTATGAGATCGATTGCATGGTCCCAAGGTTGGTGGGCAGGTAATCGTTCGGAGGCGGATTCTGAGAAAACCTTTTTGAAATCACGGTACTGCTCAGGGACCATTTCTTCAAAGGTTTCAACAGGCTTGTCTCGGTTAGCTTCCTCTGCTAGCTGCTGGGAATAAGTGAATCCTGCGGCGCACCAGACCTCCTCAGTCTGTTCCTCTAGGATTCCCGCTTTTACCCATGCCCGACAAGTTTTATGATTGGCTCGGATTCGGTGTATTGGGGATTCCTCCGCTGCTGATTCACTCTCTTCGAGGGTTGCTTCCTGTGGCGCCTCAATGTGAGGGGGTTCAGCTAGAGGTTTTGGGAGTTCAGGGATTGGGCTTTCTGTGTTAGCAGCAGCTAGGTGAGGGTATGAGATCTCCTCATCTTGGACTTCTTCTATAGCTACTCGAGGGGGCTTTACTGAAAGT